ATGTTGTCTGCACAGGTAACCCAGGTAAAAAGGCGCGAATCTATTGTCTGCCGTTGCTGTGACGGCGGGGGAGGGGCCTGACGCAATGTACCCAGAACCCCTCGCGGCACTGCTTTGCATCATCCGGGCATTGCGATCTCAACCCATAATTCCAATGGGCGCCGGAGGCTCCGGGAACTGTGGGATAGGTACCATAGTGCATTGCGCCGGAAGTCGACGCTAGCCTCGGTACTGTGGACGCGGTCCGCCGACTTCATGCACTTAGAGCATTTTAGGTGGGGACACACACAATCGGCTGCATACAACCGGTTTCTATAAAACCGGCTTCTATAAATCCGACCTAATTCTGTAGTGTAGACATAGCCTCAGAGCTTAGTCCGGTCTATTAGATGCAGCTCTGCACTGGGAGTGGCGCAGAGTGGCACCACCCCAGGGAAGTTTAGGAAGGGACTATTAGAGCAAGATTCTCCGCCCCCCTAAGAATTCTTTGCACTTTGTGATACGCCTATTTTGAACATAGGGCCACACATTTCCTGGCTGCTGCTTGGGTCCGTGGTAGGAAAAGCAACAAAAAAAAAAAAAAAAAAAAAAGCCTCCCCTATTTTAGTGATCCTCATGCAGGAGCTGTGCACAATGGCAGGCGATAGGGACTTACCGGCCCCTCCTAGCACCCACGGGTGCACGTCACCCCTAACGGGATGGGAAAGAATCAGGGTCATGTTTCCCCCCTGCACTGGTTAGTGGAGCTGAAAGGAGACGAAGGGAGGGAACTCATGGAGCTCCCCTAAAGGCTGGGACCCCTGCATGCCAGGGAATTCCTGGAGTTAGCTCTCCCTGTCGCTCAACTTATTACCTGGTTTCTCCAGCTATGGAGTTCCTGCCAAGCCTAACGTTCAAGACTTTGAGAATCTAGTAAGTGTATAAGCACTTGGTGCTACTAACACACCAGGACCATTAGGGGAGTGGAGGTGAGCAAGCCGGTGGGTTTGGAGGTGTATACTCCTGGAACTCCCAGGCATGCAAGGACACCAGCCTTTGGGGGAGCGCAATGTGTTCCCCCCTTTGTGTCCATTCAGTTCCACTAACCAGTGCCCACAGGAGGGAGCAACATGACCCTGCATCTTTTCTGTCCCTTTTGGGGTGACGGGCACCCGTGGGTGCTAGAAGGGGGCAGTAAGTCCCGATCACCTGCCATTGTGCAGGGCTCCAGCCTGAGGGACACACAAGCAGGGGAAGCTTTTTTCTTTTGTCTTTACCCATCACCCACCCATGCAGCCATCAGTAAATGTTTGGTCCTATGTTCAAAACGCTTTGACAGTGTAACACGGAGGGCTAAGTATTATTAGAGCGGAGTCTATCTTGCCCACTTTGGACTCAAATTTTCCCAAAGTGATTTCTGTTAACATGCACAGGGTTAAACTGATCGCTAAATCTGGAAGCAATTTTGACTCAATCCATATGGACATGGAATAGTTTAACTATAAAGTACCAGAGATAATCTGTGAGGAGCATCTGAGCTTCTCTCACATGATCAAGATCTTGCAAGAGCCAAATATGTGTCAATTTGGGTTCATCCATTCTTTGTCCACATTGCTAAATTGGGACTTTTTTGAATAATATCACTACTACCATTTCTATTGATGGCCACAGTCCTGCAGGCTATAGGTATTGTGAGATAACCAGACAACAGAGTACTTTTTCCCAAAGTGCAAAAAAACCCAATGTGAAGCAGTTGCATGCACTATATTGTAAAATGTTTTTAAAAATAAGATTTAGAAATGCCAGTGTTCAGTAAACCTGCTGTAATATTTGTAATGTGCTTTTAACCTTCTTTCCAAATAAGTGTGGTTATATTTTGAAAACATGGAAAATTGTTTTAACTTTATGTAGACAAATATGGAAAGTGTGGAACTCTTGAGTTCAAAGGTTAATAAGCATCAGCTGTAATATGAAACCAAATATTTGTGAGCAATGCTTAATGAACAAAGAACAGCTAGACTGGGTCAGACCAATGGTCCAGCTAGCCCAGTATGGATGGGGTCTCTAACAGCAGCCAATGCCAGACGCTTCAACAGGAATGAACAGACCTGGGTAATTTCAAGTGATCCATCCCTTCTCCAGTCCCAGCCTCTGGCAGTTGGAGGTTCAGGGATACTTGGATCATGGGGTACACCCCTGAGCATCTTGGCCAAAAGCCATTGATGACCCTATTCTCCATGAATTGACCTAATTTCTTTTTGAACCCAGTTGTCAGAATGACTTAACATGAAGGCTGGAATCTAACAGATTTGACTGTCATGCACTTTGATAAAGTACCATTAATGGAATATCTCTAAGGCTTGGTCTACACTTACCCCCCAAGTCGAAGTAAGGTACGCAAATTCAGCTACGTGAATAACGTAGCTGAATTCGACATACCTTACTTCAAACTTACCGCGGTTCAGACGCGGTCCACACGCGGCAGGCAGGCTCCCCGTCGACTCCGCGGTACTCCTCTCGTTGAGCTGGAGTACCGCAGTCGACGGGGATCACTTCCTGGTTCGATTTATCGCGTCCAGACCAGACGCGATAAATCGAACTCGGAACTTCGATCCCCAGCCGCCGAACTAGCGCGGCAGTGTAGACCAGCCCTAAGACAGAAACAAGAGGTGGAGGCAAAATAGAGAGTCTGAAAATTAGGGGTTGCTTAAAATCTGCATTTACTGAAACACGTTCCCTATACTGATAAGCATGGCTACTGTCCTGTCCTCCTCCAGATCTTTTCAAGACTGGCTTCTACAACTACTCCAATGTCAGCCAGTGTTTAATTGTTAGGCTGAGGGGAAAGTTTATGTAATTATAAAACTTTTAAAGAGAATGATTTACACCCAGTATGTGTCTGTATATAAAACAGGATATACGATGATCCCACTCTCCTCTTCACCTTAATTAAACATGTGATATTCTAAGAATTCTAACCTAAATGGTAGTGCAGAGTTGCTCTGTACTGTTAATCTAAAAACTACAGTTGCATTTCACAGCAAGAGTGCTTTATCCCTTTCTATCGCATGTAACACTTTGGGATCCTTCACAATGCTAGGTACTATTTCAGGTGGAGCAGATAGAAACATAAGTAGTTAAAGTTCCCTAACACTTTCAAAAGCACCTGTTTTCAGTTCCTTATGTTTTTGTCAAAATTTTTAAAGATTTTAAATCTGGGTGTCTGCCTTAGGCTGTTTTTTAATTTCAGCTGTTTTTGTTCAGTTGTTTCTGAAAATAAATGTACACAGGCAACTGTAAATTCTGGCATTTTCAAACTGTTGGGTACTTGATTTTATACTTTTACGGTTCTTTGAAATGTAGGTTTTTGTATGTTAATCTTAAGGTTGTGTCCAGGGCATATTTACTGTATAGACAAGCTGATAACATAAAAGCATTTAGTTGGACCCATAAAAGCGGTAGGCTCCAATTCTAAAAGTTGAGCAGCATGGATTGACCTTTGTGGCTGCACAGAGCCCCAATTCCCTCCAGATCATCTTGCAAGATTGGGGCCTTACTTTCTAAAGTGTTATCAGAAAACACTCACAAACAAAGCTATACCAAACAAAGCTGCATTACCAGCTCTTCATTTTTTGCCTGAATTTCAAAAAGTGTTTTAAATTTCTATATAGAAAAAAATTCCTCCCCCCAGGTACATGCCACTAACCTCCCTGCTAGGCTGAATAACATTGCTGAGCACATACTTCCTTATATGGTATGTTGTGTTCAGATGGTCTGTTCTGAACTTCTGCATTAACATTCATTTTTGAACCCTCTGGTCTGTATCAATTTAAAAACACCATTATCAGCATCAAACATACATATTTATTGGACAAGGCAAGTGAAATAGTAATGTTATGAAAATGTTTTGTTCTTCATGTGGGTAATTATAAACTCTGATTTTAAGGGAGACAGTTTATCAGATAAAATGGATATTTTCCACAAACACACAAACTCATAAGTTTAAACAACCCCTTTAATATAACAATCATATCCAACTTCTAAGTACAAAATTTGAATCACTAATGCAAAATTAGTCAGAATTTAGCTGTCAGATGCAAAAAACAGATAATGTAAAAACAATGTATATTTATTTTGAGGTATTGTATAATTACTCCTTAACCATGAATTGCTTTTCATCAGTATAAGTAAATTATACATGAACATTCTTCAAAGAATTTTACACTTTCCAAAGCAAGAAAACTCAGTGGCACACACACAAAGTAAACAATAGATTTAAATCCTTGTACAAATGAATCAGGGAATAATAAAAATCCCACCAATACTATTTTTTATGACAAAAAATTCTGAAGTACTCCAAAAGAATAACCCAAAGGCATGCAAAATGGATAATTGTGAAACACACCCATCTGTGTGGCACAATGGGAAAAAACAAATTAGTGTAAGGTGGATTTAGAAATCTACCTTTTTTTTTTTTTTTTTTTAACTGATTGTCAATCAAATCCTTCTACACAAGTAGAATGGAAAAGGAAAAATGTTTAGTCTTATTTAACCCGTAAGTAATCAAATTTCATAGGACTCCTGATAGTCACTGGCAAAAAGGGGTTAAAGTCACCATGTTTTCATGGTTTGGTGTGATTTACAAAACCAGTCAAATATAACAAGCAATTGGTGTTATTGTGCATGATCTTTTACCATTTTTGAGAGCAAACAGATAGAGATCATCTGAGTTTGTTAGTGCAGATGGAAAATTTCCATTTATATGCTTACATTTTTCCTCACAAGAACTGAAATATAAACTTCAAGGCATATCCCATATATCACTTTGTATTCTCATTGCAACACAGAATATATTTGGCAACCAAGAGCTATAAGTAGAATCTGAGTAGTGAACTACAGTGCATTTGATTTTCTTAAGAAAATCAAACCTTGTGTCATCTACTTCAGGAGGCTAAAGAAAAGAACAAGAGACTTCACACTGATGCAGTTATATCAAAGTAGTCTTTCCTGAATTGCTTCTACTGGTCTTTCTTGTCCTCCTCTTCATCTAGGAAGTCCTGCAAACAAAGAAACAGACAAGTCAGAAAGAAGCAAATGAACAATCTTTGCATTTGGCAAGATTAGAAACTGATGTCTAAGGATGAATATCCTAATGCTAAATTCTGAAAGGGCAAGAGATACTGGGCTCTCTCTGTGGCCACACAAGTTCAGAATGCATCAGAAACACTATAGTTCCACTGCATGAGGAGAACCAAGAAGATGAAAAATGGCACAGTTGGACTTCACATCCCAGAGCTAAGATCCATGGAGTTCTCTCCGTAGGGACTTTGGGAGGGGTTGTGGGTGGGCGAGCTGGCTGAGAGATATAGCCAGTACACTGTGCAGACCTACTAGCTACAACCATATGCCCCCAAAGGGCCAGTAGGCTGCAGCTATTACTATAGCTCGGGGTGGCCAAACTTACTGACCCTCCGAGCCAGATATGACAAATCTTCAGAAGGTTGAAAGCTGGGGTGTGCCTGCTGGGGCTTAGCGATTCAACCCTGCTCCTGCCTAAGCCCTGAGCCCTGGTAGGCGCACCCCGTGAGGCTGAAACCCCGAGAACCCCTCTCTGCTGGGCAGAAGCAGCCCCAAGCCCCACCACCCTGCTACAGGGCAGAAGTCCTGAGCTCCTCCTACCCCCAGTCTGGTAGGTGGAGGATGGGGGGCTCTGCGAGCTGCACTTTAACTGTAAAAGAACCACATGCGGCTCACGAGCTGCAGTTTGGCCACCCCTGCTATAGCTCATAAGCTGCAGTATGGATGCAGCTATGTAGGCGGTTGGGGTCTGGCTTTTGGGCTGAGGGAAAAAGTCTGTCTTCCTCAACACTCATGTTGATTTCCTATCTATAAGAAAGGGCTTGTCTTCACTACCGGGGATATTGATGCTGCTGCAATCGATGCAGCGGGTATCAATTTAGCGGGTCTAGTGAAGCCCTGCTAAATCGATGGCTGAGCGCTCTCCGGTCGAACCCTCCGAGAAGAGTAAGGTAAGTCGACTGGAGAGCATCTCCCGTCAATGCAGCGCAGTGAAGACACCGGGGTAAGTCAACCTAAGCTACGTCAACTCCAGCTACATTATTTGCGTAAGTGGAGTAGCGTAACTTAGGTCGACTTACCCTGGTAGTGAAGACAAGCCCATAGGGATTTTAGCTTAAGTGCACCAATTGTCAAAAGTGACAAAAGACACCCAAACTACACATGGAGTTCCATATTCTCTTCATTTTGAGAAATAAAGTTTGTTCATTTTGCAAATCAAAGGTTTATAACAACATTTAACAAAGGCAAAACAAAACCCCACAACAGACTGCAATCTCCTCCTGAAAGCCATCTGTATTCTTTCTGGAGGCTACATCACCACCCAAAATGAAGATTCTACACTTGGAACTCGGCAGGCAATTTTGCTGATGTAGGAGTCAACAGAATTCTGCTCTCCCCCATAGCACTGCCGGAACCTAGTTCCAGTGGCACATACAAGTTGCTTAAGACACACAGACACTATAAAGCCAATACAATTAACAGAAACAAAATGACGTTTTCTCCAGTAAACATACATGATGGATCTACAGGGTGCTAATGTGGGTGGTGACATTTTACAGAGTTATTTCTCTAACTGAAGCTGCACTTTAGGATAGTGGCAGAATTCTCTGAGCTTCTCAGAACTTAAGAGTTTGATTTTTTTAGGTCAAGGCTGAGTGTTGGCAGGGGTTCATGTGTGTTAGCAATATTTATGAAATTGTATATGACCATATCTTTCTCTCATTGAGTAGGTGTTAATGTAGAAATAATAAGGTATTACTTGTTCTGAGCCAGGAGGAAGAAAAGAGGTAAATATGCTCAATGCTTGGTTGAAGGAGAAGTGAGGGGAGAAGGGAAAAGCAATCTTGTACACAAAAAACTATGTTAAAGTAACAATAAGGTTGCAAAGTCAAGCACTCAAGAAGTTAGGAATTCAGAATTCCTGTGCAACCTTAATTTGGCTCCCTTGTGTGCATGCACATTATGACAAGGTGTTTACTTACATGATCACATATACTATTTGTTCCAAAGAGCCCCTGTGCTGATGGACAGTCAATGTGCACCTATTCAGTATTTTCCTTTTATTCTCATTCAATATGTTCTTTTAACAGTTGTGTTTGTGCATGCTATTTCTTTTTTAAAAAAGACAACCAAACCCAAATTCCATCATGTGGCATCATATTGACACCCACATGGTTCCAACCCTGCTGATGAACCTTTAGATCCATCACACACACACACACACACACACACACACACACCTCTGTCACTTGAGCTAATGGAGTAACTGATAGCAGTAGTAGGATGTCATCCTCAATGTGGATCAGCATGGGTGTGGGGGAATGAGACGCACACTTAGCCAGGGGGGGTTCACAGATATTGCTGATGGCAGAGGAATGGGAAGACTCAGGAATCTTGGTTTCCATTCTTGGTTTTGGAAGAGACGATACTGTAAGGAGCATTAAGACCTTTCTGCCTGTTCTCTCCTGCCCCCCTCCCCAAACTTGACTCCTTCAGCCTCATCCTCTTCAACGTGTCACAATTCTGTCTCTTCCCCATCCCTGGGCTCCTTGTCCCAGTCCAACTCTCCACTTCTCAGCCTTCTCATCCCAGTCTCCTTGTTCAGCCTCCCCCCGTTATCTCCCCATCCAAATCCTAGGGCAGGTCTACACTACAGGGCTAAATTGACCCAAGTTATGCAACTCCAGCTATGTGAATAATGTAGCCGTAGTCAATGTACCTTAGGTCGACTTCTTGCAGTGTCTACACTGTGCGGGGTTGACGGGAGAAACTTTCCCATTGACTTACTTTATGCTTCTTGTTCCGGTGGAGTACTGGAGTCCATGGGAGAGCGATCGGTGGTCAATTTAGCTGGTCTTCACTAGACCTGCTAAATCGACCCCTGGTGGATCGATCGCTGCGCATCGATCCCCTGGTAAGTGAAGACAAGCCCCCAGTCTCCTCTCCTCACTCACAGTCTTATTGTCTAACCAGTCTCCCCAGCTCTCAGTCATTTTCTCTCTCCCCACACCCTCAGTTTTGTCAGACACCTTGCACCACTCTACCCCTTTCCCTCCCTCCCCCACTCCTTTTTCCTGCTCTTGTCCTCTCCGTATTTAAGTCAGGTGGCTTCCTCTTCGTGCTCCCTGTGCAGCAGCAAAACTGTGTTTCTGGGTCTGCGTGCCATTGACGGCACAGGAGAAGCTAGCTCCCTGTATTCAGTTCTAGTGCCCAGCCTGAGGCAGCAGGGAACTGCAATTACAGAGAAAATCCAGCTTCTGCCCTAAAGCTCTGGGCTGGAATATGTTCAGTCACTCGGTGGGGGTTGCATATGCATAGTCTAGTCCAGGGGTAGGCAACCTATGGCACGTGTGCCGAAGGCGGCACGCGAGCTGATTTTCAGTGGCACTCACACTGCCCGGTTCCTGGCCACCGGTCCAGGGGCTCTGCATTTTAATTTAATTTTAAATGAAGCTTCTTAAACATTTTAAAAACCTTCTTTACTTTACATACAACAATAGTTTAGTTATATTATAGACTTATAGAAAGAGACCTTCTAAAAATGTTAAAATGTATTACTGGCACGCGAAACCTTAAATTAGAATGAATAAATGAAGACTCGGCACACCACTTCTGAAAGGTTGCCGACCCCTGGTCTAGTCAGTACAGGTGCTCTGAGGGGCTGCAGCATGCTCAGGGAAGACAGAATCTTCAGATGTTTTAGCTGTCACATGTGAATGTTTTTTAAATGTTTGTAATTTAGTCAAATTTGCACCAATTTTTCTCAACAGCACAGGTACATTCCTGACACAAAAGCCATCGGATGCCAAATTTCCAGTTACTGCTCCAAAGCACAGGGACACTACAGCCTCTCAAAGAAAAGCTCACCAGAATTTTGTTAATACTGTAAAACAATGTATTTTCCACAACTTTGTTCTTGGAAACAGCTGAACCGTTTTGGCTGAAAAACTTTCAAAAAAAAAAAAAAAAAAATTTATCCCGAGGCAGACACCTGGAATGGAAAATTTCATCCCATACAATTAAAGTTTGACAACTTTTAATCAACTGAAAACAGGGTCTTACATGGGAAGGGTCTGGCAATCTTAACAGGCAGTGCTACCAGCCCCAACTATTTTTTTATAGTATTTCAATGCCTCTGAACCCCTAAGCCCAATAAAAATCCATGAAATGATTTTTAAAAGTGTTATTCAGCTTTTGCCAGTTAGGCTTCCTGTTAACATCTTGCACGTCACTCAGTTTGAACAGTGTGTTTAGACTGACCTGTTTGTAGTCTCTTGCTTCCTGGTTCTCGAGCATTAACAATGCTGCAGCATTTGGATTGCAAACATCAGAGGAATGTTTAAAACCATAAAACAAAAACCAACCCCAAACCCTCCCTTTCATTATAATTTCCATTACCTTCTTGAAGCTCTCAGGCTCAGTCCTTGAGTGAAGGACTTCACATGAATCCTGAACTCAACCTCAAAGCTATAGCACATCAACCTAGAAATCTGATGATGCCACCTTTCCTTTCCTTACCTCAGAAAAATACTACCCAGCTTTGCCATAAGATTCCTGCAAGAAGGCAGAATTCTACTAGGTATTTTTATAACCTTAAGAACATAAGAAAGGCCATTCTGGGTCAGACCAAAGGTCCATTCAGCCCAGTATCCCATCTGCCGATAGTGGCCAATGCCAGATGCCCCAGAGGGAGTGAACCTAACAGGTAATGATCAAGTGATCTCTCTCCTGCCATCCATCTCCACTCTCTGACAAACAGAGGCTAGGATCACCATTCCTTACCCTTAACCTGTTATAGTCCTAGCCTTAACAACCTCTTCTGGCAAGGAGTTTCACAGGTTGACTGTGCGCTGTGTGAAGAAGAACTTCCTTTTATTTGTTTTAAACCTGCTGCCCATTAATTTCATTTGGTGACCCCTAGTCCTTATATTATGGGAACAAGTAAATAACTTTTCCTTATTCACTTTCTCCACATCACTCATGATTTTATATACATCATATCCCCCCTTAGTCTCCTCTTTTCCAAGCTGAAAAGTCCTTCAGGGAGTAATTTCCATTGTAACATATACTGAAGGGTTTGATAATTTCTCTTGCTCTTGGAAAAGAAACATCCAACATGTGTAATTTTGTTAGTACAATTTCAGAACATTCTGCTCATGCAGTGAACCACAACCACCTACCTGCAGCCGTTCATGTTCTTTCATAAGGCAATCATATTCTCTTTTAAGGCCTTCAGATTGCTTTTTAATTGCAGTCACTTCATTTGTTGCCTTGGAAAGGGCTATAAGATATAGAAGTGAATTTATTAAAACACTTTAGTCACTGCATTTTGATATGAAGAAACATCAATGCAATAATGCTACAGCTGTCCAAGAATAAATTTTCAATTCTATCTTTAACAGCACGTGCACCAGAAATATACGTTCCAATTCTGATCTCGCATTGGTCTATGTCTATTGACTTAAAAAACTAAGGGTCTGATTCTGATCTCACATTGGTGTAAATATGAAGTATTGCCATTGTACTTTAAACAATCACAGGTAAGTGGATATTTGGTACTTAAGTAGTTTGTGAGAGTTATTACCTGTAGAAAATGAAATTCAAAAAGTATTACACTGGAAAGTTTCAGAAGAAGTTCATATTGTTTAATATATTGTATGAGTTTCCATTCCCTTTCCTTTATAGATTTGGTCAGAAAAGAAATACATTTATAAACAGCTGATGACCTTATAAAGAATTGCACCATCTACTGAACTGTATGATTGTCTAATTCTTGATGTGATCAGCTTTATGTCTTACAAAAACTAAATGTAATGTGTCCAAACCTGGACAGTGTGAAATGATTTGAGCCAATGATTTAATAATTTGGCGCAGCTATTTTGGAGATTTATTGTTACATTCAACCAAGATGTGTCAGAATGTAGGAAAGGGCTAGGGAGCTATATTCACTCTCTCTCACATCATTCTACAACCAGAAGCCTATTTGTACCAAGCAGTCTCAAGAATATGGAAAGGTGACTTCCTGTTGTTAGACCACAGTTTTCCAACGAAGTATAGCGATTTTTTCTGTCCCCACATTTTAGGAGCAGAACAATTCTTGCAATTGCCTTTGCTATTAGGGCTGCCATTACTGCCCAAGACAATTTCCCAGTCACCTATTTACTCTTTAGTTCACCTGTTTCGTCCTAGAGAACTGTCACTATAGTGTCAAATAGTGCTATAGGAGGGTTTAAGATCTGTTTGAATGTAATTTCTATTGAAGACAGCGTGTTTTGCATGCCTATCCAGTTTTCCGTGTGCAGAAATGTCGTATTTAGTGGTACCCAGAAGTCAAGTTGTTCAAATAATTTAAATGTTTGGTACTTGAGAAGATGTTCTATGTGCTGCAGTATCTTTTCTGTCCATTTGCTTTTTGGAGTAAAATCTAATTTGTCATATAATTCACTTAACTTTGATAGGAAAATACGTATTTTACATATAGTCAGATTTCACCAATAATTTTTCATTTGTAAAAAATGGCATTCTGAAGTGTCTCAAACTGATTTTTTTTAAATGTAGGCCAGTTTGATTTATATTTCTGTTCCCAGAATTAGGGACTGCATATCTACTGGAGGATCAACTGTGCAGTAAGATTTGATTACTATATGATATGCCAAGTTTAGACAAATGTGACATGTTTCAGGTGATCGGAGTTTGAATTATTTTAAATACATACTGGATTTATGCTCATGAAAGTAACCAGCCTGATAATATACACCACCACTTGTCTGTTACATCAAGCATCTTAAATGCAAGTATCTGCAAGCCTTACTTTTGCAAATAGTCTAGCCCTATTGACCTTAATTGGACTAGTTAGCAAATAAGTCTTGCAGGACCAGGTGCTATATTCCCTAGCAACATTCATTTTCGTTTTAGTAATGTGTTAGACCTTTCCTAAGCAAAAATGTTACCAAGTAACTAAAGTGATGTGAAATTCCTTTGTGCTGTGGCAGATCGCTCCAAAACCAGGCTCCTTTTGACTTAAGACTATAACTCAGGAATGAAATGGGATTTCAGAAGGGCAAAGCAGATTTGTCCATGGAATTCAAAAACATTTTAATTAGGAATGAAACAATTCCCCCCCTCCCCACCCCCTCTCTTTCTCTATGGGAGCTCCAAGCTCCTTTTTAGTCCTGCTGTATATCTCACAACAATTGAGGCCCTTCAGTACAGGCAGCAGCCTTATGGCTAAGATGTGCTGAACAGGACTTTTTAAAGCTCATCAACAGGGCCAAAAATGCCATTGTTGGGTGATAAAGAGCACTCCTTTTCCACTGTTCTACACCTACAAATTAGATTGGCCTAGCTACATTGCTCAGGGCTATGAAAAATTTTGTTCCCTGTGTGACATAGTTAGGTTCGCCTAACTTGCACATGCAAGTAGGCGAGTGGAAGAATTCTTCCGTTGACCTAGCTATTGCCTCTCCAAGAGGTGGATCATCTATATCAAAAGAAAAAAAACACTTCCATCAACGTAGGAAGCATCTACACTACAGCTGCAGTGCCATAGCTGTCCCACTATAGTCGCTGTAGTGTAGACATGGCCTTAGTGTGCTGCCATGTATAGTACCTCCTAATATAGGTAGCAAGAGACAGACTCCGAATTAGATCACCCACATTGCAATACAGGCTATTAACTATTAGCCTAAGAGGTTAACCCACAAAGCTATTTTTAAAAGCAAGTCTAATAGTAACAAAATGTAAAAGGTGACCTTAAAAAAAAAAATTACCTTTGTTGCTTGCCTTCCCTCAACCCCCGTCAGTGTCCTTAGACTATGAGCTCCTCAAGATAGTGACCATTCCTTCTTTAGTCCCCAGAACATGCCTAGCAAATTGCAGATGCAATCATAAACCAAGATGCTGTTCTCAGCAGACATGGAACAAAGCATAAGTGCTTAATGAAGAGAAGGAACAAGGGAACTAGTCTGAAACAGAGGCAATACTTATTATGCTATTACTTTGACTGCTCCTCTGTTGAAACCATCATCCATGCCTCATTTCTTTATGCCTCACTTCTGGAATTTCCTTTTCTACACCTTCCCAAGACCTAGCTCTCCAGACTCCAGCATCTGAAGATAAATAGTATCTTCACATATACCCGAAGAAGGATGACTGCATCATCCACATTTTTTAGGCATTCCACTGGGTCTTCATTTGACAATCTAGTTCAAAATCAACCTTATTTTTTAAATTTTCCATGGTCTCTCTTTTTTTAAACGTTCCACAGCCTTACCTCATAGACCTTGGATGAAATTCTGACTGCACGGAAGTCAATGGCAAAACTCCAACTGACTTCAATGGAGCCAGGATTTCACTCCTTGTGTCTCTATTCCTCCTTTCACTCCCCCTCTCTGCTAGTCTTGCACTGGCCTCCTCTCATCCTTTAATACCATCTTGCCAGCATTAATGCAAGAACCTTCTCCACCACAACTCCCATCATTTGGAACAGCCAGCCATTCTGCACATCTGACAAGTGGACTCTCCATTATATTTACAATCTTAGCTGAACTTTTCTTCCTTTCTTATATTACTTAATTTTCTCTTCTGCTACTGATATATCTGACACTCACACACGTGGGAATCAAATCAATAAGTGTTACTCTTTATAAAATAAGTTTAATATTTACATTGCAAATAAAAGTAAATATATGTTCTCTTTCCCCTCTTCACTTTCAAGTTCCCCTCTATGCTGTACAGAAAACTAAAAAGGAAACATACTCCAGGATTTAATAGTTTTTCTTCATACTTAGGGATCTCACAATCTAATGCCATTGCACTATTTTTCATACAATATTTTGGTAACTTGATCTAATAGTAGCTACTGGGCTGTTTTACAAGAAGCTGAACACTGCTTTGGTTGTAACTAAAAACACCCATATCTCTAAACATGAACAAAATGTCTAAAGATATCTGTAGATCAACAAAGCAAACAACTCACTGCACTGTCTCAGTGTTTTGACCACAACGGACTCATGACAGGAATACCTCACCCAATCCTAGCTGAAGGAAATCAAAGGCCAGGTTGTCCCTTCCATCTCTGTGGGGAAATAAGGACAACCCCACTGATCCCTGCTGGGGACTACAGAATGAGAAGAATTGTGCTGCCTTTCCAGAGTTATTTCCCCACCACCTTTTCTGAACACCTCCCTGTGAGCCACACATTACAATCCAATCAACCCTATGGTAAATCCCCACCTACAATAATAATGTCTGAATCATTTAGGCCTGGTCTACACTAACACCCCAATTCGATCTAAGGTACGCAACTTCAGCTACGTGAATAACGTAGCTGAAGTCGACATACCTTAGTTCGAATTTACCGCGGTTCAGACGCGGTCCACACGCGGCAGGCAGGCTCCCCCGTCGACTCCGCGGTACTCCTCTCGCTGAGGTGGAGTACCGCAGTCGACGGCGAGCACTTCCTGGTTCGAATTATCGCGTCCAGACCAGACGCGATAAATCGAACCCGGAAGTTCGATTGCCAGCCGTCGAACTACCGCGGTAGTGTAGACAAGCCCTAACTTAGCTGCACTGGACATCCTCATGTTCTACAATATGAATTTTATGACAATATCATTGAACAAATACATTTAACCAGAATAAAACACAAAATGTGCAATGTAGCTAAGATTACACTGTGATTTTGCATGTTAGGATTGTGTTACCTTAATACAAGTTTTGCATTTAATTTCCAATTTATTTTTTTTAAAAGGGAAAAAGCCCAAAGAAAAATCCTTATAGCAACATGAAGGATAAAGGCACTTAGAATCTATGCATCTATAAGGCCAGAAGGGACCATAATGATCATCTAGTCTGACTTCCTGTCTAAACACAGGCCATAGAACTTCCCCAAAATAATTCCTAGAGCATATCTTTTAGAAAAACATCCAATCTTGATTTAAAAATGGCCAGCATATGCCACACGACCCTTGGTAAATTCTTCCAATAGTTAATTACTCTTACCATTAAAAATATAAGCCTTATTTCCTGTCTGAATCTGTCCAGGTGCAACTTCCAGCCACTGGATTATATTATATCTTTCTCTGCTTGATTGAAGAACCCATGATTAAATATTTGTTCTCCACGTTTGTATTTGTAGAGTGTAATCAAGTTACCCCTTAACCTTCTCTTTGTCAAGCTAAACAGATGGAGCTCCTTCACACTATCACTATAAGGCAGGTTTTCTAATCCTTTATCGTTCTTGTGGCTCTTCTCTGAACCTACTCCAATTTATCAA